TACCAATTGATGTCCCTAACAATGATCAATCTTCAAGATAAATCTTCATAACGATGGTAGATCTGATATACAATTGTAACAACTCTGCACTTTTGGATTTCTAGGTTAGAACTTATTACGAGATCTTTATTTGAAAGCTAAGTCTTTTAGGATTAGCCTAATCCAGAATAGGATCCTGAAGAAGTCGTTTAAAAGACCAGAGGATGGAACAACCAGAGGTTCTGGTCTGTGCTAACACAGAGGCTCTGGTGACAGTTACAGAGGCTCTGGCGTCTCTTCATATATGCTCGTGTCTCTTCACAGAGGCTCTGGCGTCTCTTCAGGCTCTGGCGTCTCTTCACAGAGGCTCTGCTGTCTCTTCACAGAGGCTCTATTGTCTCTTCACAGAGGCTCTGTTGTCTCTTCACAGAGACTCTGGCGTCTCTTCACAGATGCTCGTGTCTCTTCACAGAGGCTCTGGTCCTTCTTACAGAGGCGCTGGTCGCCCATACCTGATCGATTCAGCATCATTTTCAGGAGTCCAATCCTTAGCCCCGATAGCCTAATAAAACTTTTTAAGAACATCATTAACATCAAATTAATGCTAACAGATCGTCCTATTTACCTTCTAAAGATTAGTTATAGATCTTATTCCGACGGGTAGTTGACCAAGTTGGTTCATGCAAATGCCAATCAAACTCGAAACGTTTCACATAAAATAAAGTTGATATTTTAGTCTCGTTCCTTTAAAATTTTAAAGATTTCCCAAAGGWCTCAATTCCCTTTTTGTTTAGTTGCCGACTATTTTAAAAGAATGACGATTCAAAAGTCCTGGTAAAACCATTTTTGCTATTTTAGATTTTTAGGACTTAGTTTAGAGAAGTAAAAGCCTCTTGGGCTTGGGCCTTTAGAGACCAACCCACTACTTCTCTAAAAGCCCCAAATAAATACCCCTTCTCTTTTGAAAACTCTTCATTCTACAAAAGTTCCAACCTTTTTTTTTTCGTTCTCCCTCTCTAAATCTCATCACCTTCTAGCCGAACTCTTCCCCCTGCAAGTCTAGAAATTCTGCCGCATTTAGGTCGTCCGTATCTCCCTCGTCTACAAAAAGGTATGTTCTAAAAACTATTTATTCCTCTTCTAGTGCTCAAATTCCTATTTTCTCTTCCTGCTCAACTCGAGT